ACAGTGAGGGTGACAGAGCGCTGGAACAGGCTGCCCAGAGAGGTTGTGGAGTCTCCTTCTCTGGAGATCTTCAAAACCCGCTTGGACGCAGTCCTGTGCCACGTGCTTTAGGTGTCCCTGCGTATGCAGGGGGGTTGGACTAGATGATCTCTAGAGGTCCCTTCCAACCCTAAGCATTCTATGATTCTATGATTCTATGATTCTATGATCCTCCCAACACAAGCAGGACAGTGCCAGGAGCCCGGGAGGTCTCCAGAGGAGCCAGCTCCAAGGAGCTGCTCAGGTGGCTTCTCCGGCACCACAGCTCTTCCCCCATAACACGTTGTGCTCCTGGGACCCTGGGCTTTAGCAGCACGAGAGAAGGTGGTTAACAGTGCCCAGCTCTGGGGTGGGTGATGCTGACCAGCTTTGGCTAATCACTGATGTGAGTGGTGACACATGGTCTAGGCTGCACGTGAGGTGATCTCCACGGGTTGGGGGACGTGCTGAGGCAGGAGCTTTATTTTTCATATTGGCTTCATGCCTATTTTAGCAAGCAAATTTCATTAAGCTTGAAAACTTACTGAAATTGAAATCATAGTCATCCAAAAAGGGAGGTGGTGGAGCTGTATCCCTGCGTGAGGTGGAGCCGTCTGCTGGGAACGGGATCAGCCGGATGGAGCTGGGGTGGCTTTGCTGCCCTTTGGGAGTTGCAGGAGGCCCATCTATTTGGGAATTCTGCTTCCCTGATATCTTGGATGGGATTCGCATTTGTAGTGAAGGGTGCTGAGGAGTTGCATCCTTGCTCCTTTACCACAGCTTTTCTAAAATCAGTTTTAATGACTGCAAGTCTGTGGTCTAAGTGCTGGAAATCTGCTCTCTGAGAGTGTCTATGGGAACACACCAGGAATTCCCAGCTCCTCTTTCCAACTTGCTCCCTCCCAAAAAGCTGAGTTTTGCTCAGGTTGACTCGTGCAAACCAGTTGCTTTTCTACAGGAAGGGTAAAATTGGAGAGAAAGCAATGTTGTAAATCCATGAAATGGAGGTAGGCTTCAGAAGCTTTCTATTTTGATGAGCAATTTGGTTAATTATTACACTGGATTGTGTTAAAGAAAAACAGGTGAAAATAGGGCCATTAAAATGTAAAAGTCGCTAGATGAAAATATACAGTGGAATCAGCAAAGGGCATGAAAACGGAGCCATCGCCGCATGCAGCCCGACCAGCAAGGAGAGCAGAGGCTCCACAGCTGAAGCCTGGGACACATCAGGGTAGAGAGAGGAATTCCTTAACAGGCGACCAGGAAAACAAACATCTGCATGCATAAAATACTGAAAAATAGCAGGTGCGAGCTCCAATCCGCCTCTTGGACGGAGGGCGGATTTGTCTAGAGTGAATCTTGCCTTGCACAACAGCAACATCTCATGAGCCTCAAGAGGTTCTGAATTTTTTCCAATCTTTTTAATGTCAAAGCATCTTTTTTTTGATGTTATGCTGTGATTTGGGAAAAAGGAAGCAGGAGATAATTTACTAAGGTTAAAACTGTGTCTCTTGCATCCGCTGATGCTTTGTTGGGCCTCTCTGACTCGTTGGTTGCAGCGGTGCCTATGGAGGAACCAGCAGATTAAAGGAGTGAAGAAGGGCCCAGGCGTCCCCGGGCCAGGTCCCAGCTCTCCTGTGTGCCCTTGGGCTCTCCTCGCTCCTGGGGACAGCAGCATTTTTGGCACTGCCAAGGGAAAGCCCCATGTCCTGCCAACAGGCATTCCGAGGGCATTTCCATGTTGTGTCCTCAGCATCTGTGCAGCTCCCCCATCCCTAGCAATTTAGGAGCCAGGAGAAACTTCCAAGAGCAGCAATAAATCAAGAGAGAAAATCCGACAAAGCTGCTGGCTCTCACGTATGGACGATTCTTAGGAGAGCTGTAACTTCAGATTTGTTTTTCATTGAAATGGTTATGTAAAAAAAACAGCCTTAGTTAAAAGTCCAGCGAATGTAAAATTTTGTGTTTTCTTTTTCATAGAAATTTGACATTTTAAAGATAGGGGGTATAAATGCTCTTACTGAAAGGATACGCCAAAAGAAAAGTATTCTATTCTTGGACAAGAATAGAAGTTTTTAGTCCTACGTGCAATGGATCAAATATGTTTTTCGGTATATTCTATCTGGCTGTTTTTTCCTCCGAGCATTTGATATAACTTAAAATGTTAGGTAGTAATTACAGATTCCCAAATTGTACAGGAGGATTTACATTGTAAAGTACATGAGGCTTCTGTTCCAAAGTGATGTTTGTTTATATCTCTGCAGAAATAAATTGGTTTATGCTACCAAATTAACTTTGTTCTGGGTCAGGCTTTCCCTCGCAGAAGCAATTACCAGAGGGACCATGATGTACCAGAATGGTTTTAACAGGTTTCCACCTTCAAAAAGGTCCCACCTGTGTTGGGCCTGTGGGGATGCACACATCTGTACACGTCTGCACACATCTGTACACATCTGTACACATCTGTGCACATCTGTGCACATCTGTACACGTGCTGCTGCCCGCTGCGTGCCCAGAGGGGTGGTGGGACTTGCTCCGATGTCCTCGTCGCTCCTAGATTGATGCTTTCCAGCAAGGCTTCCATGAGAAATCAGGAATCCACTGCTGTTCCTGAGCTCGTACAGCGGGTTGTTTACAATGCAAGATTACTATCACTGCTGGTTTTGGAAAGTTTGAAGAGAACGATGGTGGAATTTCTATATATTGTGTAGAAATATCAGTTGGCTCTATCTATGTGTGTTGTATATGAATTATGGTTTTCTATCCAACAGGACAGTAGATGCCTTTTGAATCTGGTTGCTGATAACAGACTTCACCACCACATCTGTCTTTTCCTTTGGATTAAGTGGCCTCAACCCAAATATTTTCTCTCATTTTAGGACTTCCTGATGGAAACGTTCATCATGTTCAAGAATCTCATCGGGAAGAACGTCTATCCCTTCGACTGGGTCATAATGAACATGATGCAGAATAAGTAAGTACCGAGGGGAGAGCAGGGTCGGGTTGAGCTGGAGCAGCGTGGTTGCTTGGAAACAGTAAAACCCAGTGTGCAGAGGGGCTGCCTTTGTCACCCGTCTGCGATGCACACACTCGAACCGGGCCAGGGGGCTGTGCTGGGGTGTCCTGGGCTGTTTGGAGACGCTTGGACCACGCTGCATGTTAAGGGTAGCACCAAAATTCTGCTTTTCAGCTGTACGTGCAGTAGGCTGCTGTATGTATATGATAAAATAACTACATTCCTCTGAGGCTAAATGGTGTGTTTTGTCCATGACCTTAGAAGCTGGTGGCTGCCATATGCCCACGTCGAGCTGTACGTATAATTTCAGTGGCAACAACAAGGAAAGAGTTCTATTTTGACAAGGAAATTATTTCTTTTGAATTAGTATTTCCAAAGCAAAATTCCACCTGGCTTCAGCTGTTTTTTTTTTTTTTTTTCCCCTCAATAATTGCAGTGTTGTCATTATTTAACATGATTTTCTGTAATATTTTGTTTGTGACATTTATTAAATCTGTCAGGCACATTTATGTGTACTATGAGCAAGTGTAAGGGAAAACACTATATTTACTAGTTGCCCGGAGAAATCTCTTCTGTGCTCACCGCTAGCTACCATGGCTATAAAGTTGTCAGTGTTTACCTATATCAAATCTGGTATTACAGTTCCTACTGTAATGGATTTTATCCTACTTACTGGATTTTATTATAAAATCCACTATAACTTGAATCTTGACTTCCGACCCGTGGCCCTCAGGGCTGTGCCAGCCCCTTTGCAGGTCCCCTTGCCTGCGCTTTGGCCGGGCAGCCGTGGCACCAGGTAGAAGCAGGAGCCAAAGTGTAGAAGGGACTTCCCCTCCTGCTCCTCCTTTTCCTGTTCTTTTTTTTTCCCCTTATAACACAAAAATGGCTCTTCTGCATTTCCTCATTCTGAAGGTTTGGAGTACTATGAAATGGGACGCGACGCCCTCACTTAGGATATTAACTTGTTCATCCCTAATTTACAAATTAATTTTTATTATGCCAGCTTATGTTTGTAGAAACGTCTGAATTCAGGCGAGGCTTTTTTCTGTCCCTTAGATTTGATTGAAGGAAACTAGGAAGTCTTTAAGAATAAGCTCCATCTGCTAAAAGTAGTGGCTCATCTCCATAGAAATACCCGAGAATGCCATTTTGCGTCACTCTTGCAAGATATTTATTTCTGCAGATTGAATATTGTTGTGAGATGAAAAACAGGAGCCAACTTTTAAAGGGAGCTGATTTTTAGAGTTGTAAATACGAGGGCAGGATGGAAATGGAGAGAAGTGTGAATGGGAGCGTTTGCAGGGAACGTTCACAAACACGGAGTTAGTTAGGCAGGTCCTGCCTTCTGCCTTAACTCACTAGGAAGCATTTGCTTAAGTAATACAGATAATGATGTGCTGCGTCGCCACATATCATGCCAAAATGAACACAAAGGCCTTCACATTCAGTAGAATAATAGTTACTTTTTTGCTCTCGGCTGCGTGTCACTTAATATTCTCTTTACAGATGTGGCTGTGCAAGCCCCCGAGCAGGAGGGTTTAACGTGAGGCAGATGAGGACCTGCTGAGGAGCCAGTGCTGATGGAGGGGAAGGAGGGACAGGGACACGTCCGGGGTGACCTGGCCCGGCTCTTCCCCTTTGCTTTTTCAGCAGCATTTTGAACATGGTCAACTGCTAGCAAGCGGCTCCTCGCTGCATTCAGTGCCTAAAAGTAAAGATGAGCTAAGGTAACTCTAAAGGAAAACGCTTCCTGAGTTTTGAGCATTACTGCTGGAAATTGCTAATAATTTGTTTGGGATACTTGGGCTGTAAATTGCAGTTACCGTGGGGTTTATGAGCTTTCATAGTGCAGGAAGAGTTATGTGTGTGGGAGCGAAGGCTCTGAGCAGATGAAAAGGAAGAGTTTTATGGGCCGTGTTGACAGCTTCTCTGATGGCTGCTTTACGGCCACCTAGCAGACACCTGGGATTGAGATGCAGGCCGGAGCTGGAGCCGCCACGCGCTTCCCGGAGCAGAGATCCCGGGATGCGGCCGGGCTGTTGTGCTGAAGGGCTGGGAGCCGCTGGGAGCTTTTCCTGGGGCTCAGAGGAGGAACGAGGAGGAGTCTGGGGACAGGCGCTTCATTCCAGTGATCTCTTACAAAAAGAGAAACTCAGGTAGTTTTGGGTTGGCTCAGGAAGGGAATGCACGGTTTGACCAGGAGAACAAACCATCTGATTCCAGGGAATTGACGTTATTCTTCCTGATTATTACATTGTCCTTGGGATTCTGTCATTACCTGTATAGCAAAGCTTAAGAGCCTGGGAAAAAACACAGTAATTTGCTTGAGGAGTGGAATGAGCAAAGCCTTCCAATGTGAGCAGTCCTGCTCTTCCTTAGCGTTCTCCGAACAGAAAAAATAGAGCAGGGGATACCGGAGTTTAAAACGGCAAGTTCAGCCTGGAGGGGGTGGCCGGAGCAGCTGGAAACACGTGCAGGACATTAAACACGTCCTGCGAATATGGAATTCCAGGAGGAAGGTGCCTCCCGGATCCCGCTGTGCCCACAGGCACCGGTGCTGCTGCTCCCGGTGCAGAGCGATGCAGGAGCATCCAGCAACATCTGCATCTCACAAACGTCTTCCCATGCAGAAATGGGGAAAACGGTTTGAAAAGTCAGAACTATTCTTGAAACTGGAGTTTTTTTCCTGCCCTGCCTTAGAAATCAGTGAGTTATGTGATTATGCATGTGCTTATGTAAGGTACCTAGGTAGAAAAGTGGGTTGTTCCGAAGAACAGAAGTATTTTAAGATTCTGCTCTTAAATTATATCTGAAGATATAAAATGTCATACAATTTTTACATCTCTGGAAAATAGTTGTGCTCCTCTTTGTGCAGCTAGTTTTAATAGAAGCGTTTTTTTCCTGGGATCTCATTTCTCCATTGGTGAAATAATATTCACCATGGATATAATATATAATATATATATAATGGATATTCCAGCTGTTCATCCCAAAGCGCTGGGGATGCAAATGAAGAAATGCAAAATTATAAGGCCCAGGAGTACCAGCCACTATAGAAATCTTAGGAAAAACCCAGTTCTGCCATTGTGATGTGGCTGGAATCACCTGAATGAATCCTGCGAATGTAAGCAATGGTTGGAAGTGATGTCAGGGTCACGCATCCAGATATAAAATGTCTCTTTTCTAGTTGTTTTTTTTTTTGCTTTTGTCTTTTTTTCTGGCACACCCTACATGGCATGAAGAAGCAGGTGCAGATCCTTGCTCCTTATAAAAAGCAAGTGTGAGGCAGCTAATTAAATGAAGCTGAAGGTGTTAAATCAAAAAGGCTGTTAGCACGTCTCAATTTTTCTTAATGGTAAAAGCCACCATCATGTGATACCTATTTTTAAAACTGATGGTGAAGCGAGTTTCACTTGAAATTGTTATTTTTCCATGTCAGCTTTGTTTGCAATAATACTGTTACACAATTTAAGTTATTTAGTAGGTGATAGAAGTGCTGCTTGTTCACACTGAGGGTTACGTTAATTTTTTGCTCTTCCAGAATGTAAAAACCACAACCTTTCCCTCTTCAGAAGCAAAATGTTTGTATATTCAAAAAGCAAAGCTTTGCTTTTGCCCAGTTAGTCTATTTTAGGCAGTTTTTTGGTTACTTTTTCTGTAAAATCAGTTGCTCTGCCCTCCAGTTTTCTCCTTATGTTTGCTAAAAAGCAAACTCAGAAATTCCATTTCCCTGCTTTCTTCTCCCAAAGAAACCAGTACAAATTCAAGCATGCTCATTTTGGCTGGGAGGGAGTAGTTCAGTATTTGAGGGTCTCCAGTAAGACACTCGAATAACTGGCATGCCCAAAAATAAAAAGGGAGACGTGTGGGAGCGCTGGCATTCCCGGTGCTGGGAGGTGCTGCAGAATCCTCCCCTGTCACCAGCAGTTCCAGGGATTTCTGCTCTCACTGCCTGGCAAAATGGCATTTTTCTGTTGCAAGTTTTTCTTGTTGTAAAGGAGAAGTGTGAGGAACAAGAGCAGCCCAGAGGCTTCTCTCCTAAGCCCAGGGTATCTCAGCCTTCCCAGGTGATCTCTATATCCCCTTTGTGGGGATCCAGAGCAGCCCAGCAGCTCCTTCTAGGCCCAGGGTCTCTCAACAACCTTCCCAGGTGATCCCTCCATCCCCACATCTCTGTACCTTTCACCAGCTGATCTTTATTAACATCTCACCCTTTGTATTCCCATATCTTCTAAACCCAGTTCACAATACTGATGTAATTAACTCATCCTGTATATTCCCATATTGGCTGGCCTCAGAAAATCCTTTATCCATCAAGCAATTAGACCACTGTTTTTCATCCTTGGCCACACCAACCTTTCTTCCTACATATTCCCATGGAGAAGCAGCTGGGAACACGTTCCTCTCCTCGTGCATGGGTAAGTGTTGCAGGAAATGTGCTTGGGGATGGGATTCCTCTTGACTTTCTGGGGCCAAATTGGGGTCCTTAGCATTGCCAGGTTGTTCTTGTGAGCTGCTTTCCATCAGTCACCTTTTTGTGATAGCAACGTACAAATTGTGCATCCCGAGCTCGAGGAGAATCCCTGTTTTATGCCTCAAAGATGAGCAAGAAGAGCCAGCAGGAGGGTTTCACCCTGCCCATCCTCAAGGAGCGTGGCTGGTTGTGCAGGCTGAGGTGTAAGGAACCCATCAGCTTATCAGCATTTTGGGGCTATTTGAGCTATTTTGGGTCCATTTGTTTTGCCTGGGATGCTTTGCCTTTGTTGGTGGCACTGTGTGTGCAACTGTCCCCTCCACAATCCAACGGGATTTGCCAGGAGGTGGCAACTGGCAGTTGTGTAAATGGAGTTTATGTAGGCTGAGGGGCAGAGCTGAAGCTTCTTTCACAAATAATGAGCTGAGAAAACTTTGCCCAAATCTGCAGGTGCTCCAGTAAGAGCCAAGGAGTTTTGACTCCA